GAAAAAAAAAAAAAAGGTAAATCACGATTGACAAGTTATCATGTTGCGTATGAAACGATAAGTTATATATAGATTTAAATATTTAAAGGTTCAACATTAATATATTCATTATTCACATAAAATCAATAGGATCTTGATTTATTAATTTAATTTGGTGTATCTTAAATCACATGATATATATAGTTTGCAATAAAATTTATATGTTTAGGTTTCATAAAGAGGGCATTTGGTGATTGTATCCAAAATAGTTTAATTTTATTTTACATTTTTAACGATATTTTTAGAGTTGATGAGTTATTATAACTTACTAGTACCTACTCCGTGCGATGCACGGGACACAGATATTAAATTAGTTATTTTCACAGTCTTGTTCGTTTAAGTCTAAAAAGTGATAATGTTATTATCTATTTTCTACCTCTTTTAATCAACGTTAAGTCTAAAAAAATATTAAGCCGCTCTCTCACAAATATGTATGGAGTTATGTGTTCGTGTCTCATAATTCACAAACATTATGAATAACATTACAAATTATTCATTCAAACTTTTATTCATTGCAAATATATTAAAATAGTTTATATAACAGCCATTAAATACCACTTTCAATATATTTATAAATAAAAAATACATAAAATTTATAGTGTGTTCAAATTTAAATATTTTTTATGGGCTCAATTTTAAATCATCCAGACATTTGGTCAAACGCATAAGTGTGTTCAAATTTAAATCATTGGCATTTTGGTCGGTTGAAATTTAAATCATCTACCATGGTACTGTGATGTGTATTATATAGGGTAAATAATTATTTGCAACCTGTACTAATTGCGTTTTTGAGGATTGCAACCTAAAGTTTTTTTTTTTTTATAAATTGCAACCTGTAATACACGTTCTGTCTGTATCGCAACCTAATGGCCATCAGAGTCAATATATCACCGGAAAAACGAGCGTGCGACTCGCACGCTACAACCTTTGAGGGTAAAATCGACCTTTGCTATGATGTGTGGAGGACAAATTTGTTTTTCGTCACTGAACATCTTTTTAAAATGACGCACGAGTAAGGAGCAGAAAATCGCGCGATTTATTTCTTAGAGACAGCTTGGAGACGATGGCTCAATTCTGCAATTGTGGCATCAATGTTGCTACGAAAATATCGTGGACTGATCATAATCCAGGAAGGAGATACATTTGTTGCTAAAAGTCGCGGGTAAGTGATTAATTAGGGTTAACCTAATTTCTGATTTTGGTCCAATTTGATGAACCCTAATTTCTAAATCTCGTTTTTTTTCTTTCTGAAATTAGTTCATTGTATTTGTAGGAGGTTGCTGATTGTTCATTTTTTTTTTCTGAAATTAACCTAATTTCTGAATTTGGGATAAATTAGTGAACCCTAATTTCTGAATCTTGTAAGAGGATGGCGATTGGTCATTTTTTATATGAAATTAGTTCCTTGTATTTGTAGGATGTTGCTGATTGATCCTTTTTTTTGTGAAATTAACATAATTTCTGAATTCTGAATTTGGGATAAAATAGTGAACCCTAATTTCTGAAATTGGGCATAATCAATGAACCGTAATTTCTGAAATTGATCTCTTAAATTTGAGTTCTCTTTTCCACTGAATTTTGTAGGAGGATGGTGGTTGTTCATTTGTTTCGTGGATTGAACCACCATTATGCCCTAGAGCTCGTGAAATCATTCCAGGGCTTTTGAAACGTTCCAACAAATTTGAAAGCGAAAGTCAACTTCTTGAAGCAGACGTGAAGAGGTTGGAAGATGATATGAAGAAGCTTCGATCAACTTTGAAAGAGGCTGAAGCATGTATTGAAGACATTAGGGAAGAAATGGCTAAAATGGAATTGTGCTTGAAGAGGAAGAGTGTTCGGGAGCGTTGGATGTGGATTGTAATTGTGATCTCTTGGCTAATCATATATCGCATGATGTAGATTTTTTGTTTTTAGCTTTGTGTTGTTCAAACTCTTGTAGTCCCTTTTTGGTTGATAGGTTTGTTGTTTAAGAATGTTTTTTGCTTTTAGCTTTGTGTT